AAGGACTGGGACATCTTTGGCTCCGCAGGGGTTAATAGAGCCAGGGGATGAGCAGGCAGGAGGGAGAAGGGGTGTGAGGGATGGTTGTGGGGTGCTGGTGGGGAGAGAACTGCTGCCCCACCTCCCCGGAAGGGTGACTGCACCCAGCGCTGCATCCTGCTACCTTCTGCCAGATGTTTGCCTCTGGGTTGTACACGTGGACCTTCTTGGTGTTGTCCCCGATGAGGTAGATGAGCCCATGCAGGGTGGCACAGCGCGGGGCCGAGAGGTACTTGGGGATGAAGGGGGATGTGATCACACTCCACAAATCTGCAAGGAGCAGCCATCAGCAGCTCATCCCTCCTTTGGTTCTTGATGCAGCTGCCAGTGACCAGGAAAAGCCCGTGGCTGTTTAAGGGCGAGTTTGAAAGGGATGGGACAAAGCAGCCAGGCAGGGTGGCATGTGTGGTCCCCATCCCAGATGAGGCTCTCATAAACAAGTGGGGAGAATATTGTTTGTTGTGGTGGTGTGGGATGGGGGTGGCCAGCCCAGACTGTGCAGAGGCTGCCTGAGGAGGTGGTGGTATCACTGGGGTTTAATTTCTCCCTAAGGTGGGCAGCTTCCTGCATCCCACTGCCCCACGGATTCAGCTCCACTGAAGCTCAGGTCTGGGCTATGCTGGAGGTCTGTGACTCAGCTCTGTGCTGCTGGCAGCCATGCTCCTGGCTGCATGGCACAGCAATCACCAGATCCCGTCAGCACCTGGTTGCATCTGGTGGGACCGTGCCTGGTGATACAGGGTGTCCCCTGCCTGGGCGTCCCTCTCAGTCCTGCTCCCTGGGAAGGCACTGGTGGGGCGGGGCCAGCTCTCACCTTGGACAGGGTTGTAGCACTGCAGGGTGAGTGCATTGTACTTGACGGCACAGGAGCCCACCAGGTAGAGCTTGCCCAAGCAACTGGTGGCTGCAAAATTGCTCACATACTTGAGGGCTGGGCTTATAGCGCACCAACTTTTGTTGTAGGGATCGTAGCGTTCCACCTCCACCATGTCCACTGTTGTTCCTGCAGGGTGTTGGGATGCTGCAGCCACCCGCTGCTCTGGGACACCCATGGACCCCCACCCCACCCATGGACCCCCACCCCACACAGGGTCTTCGTGGCCTTACCCCCAATCACGTAGATCTCACCATTGAGGACGGCACTGGTGTGGTTTGTCCGGGCTCTCAGCATGGAAGCGATGAGCTTCCAGGTGCCATCCCTGAGGCAGAAGCACCAGGCCTGAGTTGTTGACCACGTGTCGTTCTGGGACCCCCGGGAGCCGCCTGGGGAGGAATGGGACAGGTGTGCCATCCCCTCCAGGCGCCGATGACCCCAGGCAGCCCTTGCCAGCAGCTGGATCCACCCAAGAGGGGAACAAGAAGAGGGCTTTGCTTGGAGAGGAGGGTAGCCCCTGGCTCCATGCCAGCACCTCATGCCCACATCTTTGTCCTCCATCCTCCATCCCTGTTCCTTGGAGACCTCCACCCTGCACCAGCAGCCCTGTCACATACCTGTGACGTACACACCGTTGTTCAGAGCCACCACGGAAAAGCCCCATTTGTTGTAGTCGGGGAAGTCAGGCAGAGCCATCCATCGCCCTGAAACCCAGTGGAGTCATCCCCCTAGCCAGCAATGATGGTTTTAAGCCAGCCCTGTTCCATTCTTCCCTCCTCTCCCCCCAGCCTTTGTGCCCCTCCTGATACCAGATCGTTTGGTGAGAGGTGGCTTTGGGGTAAACGGGGGGTAATTAACATGCAGGGGGTGAGGATGCAC